TGAGCCACCTTATTGTAGAATGAGAATGAAAAATATAGCCGTTATTGGGGCCCACACAAGAGATAGAAAATTTGAATTTAAATGTTGATGTGATGGATAACGGTCATATTTTTCATTTTAATGAGATAAAAAAGTGGCCCAAACAGGGGCTAAGTATTCGAGTGACATGATACATTACAATAGGTGATGGAAGATAATTGTTCATTGCTTAGGGGATCGGTTTGATAGATTTGTGTCCTTAAATCACTTCGTTTTTGAATAAATGACTACCGGATTAAGAAAATCAAATCTATATAATTGTTACATGGAACAACATAATAAAGAACTTGAACGGTACAAATTTTTGGATTACATGTAAAATCTATTAGCTTACCTCTTGTACTATTAATAGATAAATCTGCCATGAACTTTGCCCTTGTTAATGTCATCTGTAATAGAGCACCTTCCGGAAATGTGTGTTGATGGTCTCTACGTTAGAGTTCTGTTTCTCTTTCTATATAATTGAATGAACTAGTTGAAATCAATCATTGAGGGCCTTGAGGCTACTTGCTATAGGTCGTATACAATAAATTTTCATTCATTGTAATAAAGTCAAACCTTGTTCTTAACGATCAATTTAAAGATAGTTTTACATCGAAAAATTGCTTTTCAAAGCAGTATATATATGAAAACCACTCCACTACGTAATGCAATTACTTTTTTTCTCAAAAACTTGGTCCATTTGATCATCTCCAAACTTTTACAATGTTAATTGTCCATCATGTAAACCTAGGCAATTTAATGCTGAATTATTAGCAGGATCATTTTCTTGTAAAGAATTTGAATTTGTTACAAATTAGCAAGACCTAAATTCCCCCAACAATCAATCATTTCGAGGAAATTTACCAGAGGATGGAGGCTTCTACTTTCTTAAATTTTGCTCTAGCATTACCTTACAACCTCCACTCAATAAATTATTGTAAACCCGAAAAAGATAGTGATTTTAATATATGAATTTGAGAGAAACTTGTACAGTACTTTGTCATGTTGTATTATGACTGAACTAATCCAAAATGTGTGTGTGTGAGAGAGAGAGAGAGAGAGAGAGAGAGAGCACAAACCATAGANTATTATGACTGAACTAATCCAAATGTGTGTGTGTGAGAGAGAGAGAGAGAGAGAGAGAGAGAGCACAAACCCTAGAAGAGATGGTAGGACTTTTGGTTCATCCAAGTATTTCATCATCATTTCTCTACCTATAAAGCTAGGTCCCTGCTGACATTTTCTTCATCAGATATCATAGAAAGCTAAATCTATCTGTATTATTTAGTTGGAACACTGGAGAAGAAAATTGAGGAAGAAAGTATCAAACATAGAGGGTAAAGATGGGAAGAGCCCCATGCTGTGA